TTCAGCTGCAATAAAAACACATTTCTTATAACTCCACCCCCCCCCCAAACTTGCCAAATTCTGATGCCTTGACTGGAATTTCCAATTTATGAAATATGAGAAGCGCTCACAGAATTTTACACCTGGAAAGGACTAAAAAGTCAAGTTTTGCTTGTCATAAGTCAGAATTAATCATACACTAGCCCCATACAATTTAACCCTTAAAACCCAAAACATAGCCTCTAGAGAACTATCTCGGCATGAAAATAAAATATCTAGCTAGAAATAATGCTACCATGCTTAAACACTGTTGATTAACTTTCATTTATTTCAATAGGAATATAATATACGAAACTTACTTTGAATTCTTTCTTTCCTTATCTTTCTCTTCTAATCTTTTCATGTCTCTAGCAGCTTGATCCTAATCAATCACAAAACATGATTTTAAAAAGTAGCATATTTAATATCAACTCCCATAAAAATCCCTGTTACTTAGAAGTTCATGGAGCTGTAAGCAAGTAAATACAGATAGTCCTCAGTTTAAGTCAATTCATTTGGCAATTGTTCAAACTTACCATGGTGCTGAATACATGAACATATGATGTCACACTTAAAGACTGCACTGCTTACCAATGGCAATCTCAGTTCCAACTAGCATCACACCCCGAGGACTACAGGATACATTATTTGATAAATGAAATACAATTTTTTCCCCACTGAATTTGAAAATCTTATTTCAATGGTAGCAAAAACTGAACAGTGCCTTCTTTCAAATCTGATGTAACAGACTGACAAGACTTGATAAAAACAAGTATCAGATTTAAACAAAAGCTCATGAAAGCATGGTCTTTCCTGTGATAGCAACACAGAGTATTTTTATAGCTGAAAAGATAGCAATTCCTTTATTCTCTTATTTGCTTTTTCTTTCATTTCTGTAATATCAGCTAAGCAATCTGTTGAAAAGTAAGTACATTCAGAATAAATTAAAAATGCTCAAATGAATAAGATTAATAAGATTTTTATTTCTTGCTTTTGAAGATCAGACTTAAAGTATAAGTTGCTTTTCTAAACAGCAAATTTTGATGTCAGGCAATTTTTGTAAAATTAAAGAAATAATAACTTACTTCCACTTCAGCCATGAATGCCTCCAATGGGTCATCCTCACTGTCTGAATCAGTTGCTTTGGAATGGAATTGCTGACGAGTAGGAGAGTTTTCAGCAGGAATGTATGGCAAGTCAACATTATTGGAATCTTCCTCCTCATCTTCAAAGTATCTAATCATTAAAGAAAGAGAAAAAAGAAATTCCATAATCAAGAATCCAGTTATTAAAAGGCCAGCAGCATAAGACAGAAATTGTATCTTAAAATAAGTTATATGACTATGAGTTAAGTAATCTACTACATCCTAACCATTCATTTATATGAGCTGGGTACAGTTCAAGCTGCATTCAAGACTTATGTGCCGTAATGCAGTTTAAAAACAACAAAAATAAAACAAGTTAATTAGGTCATACTGATTTTACTGGCTGTAATTAAAAGAAGCTACATTCCTCATTGGTGCTTTTTTTGAGATACTGTTAGATAATGCAACCATCAAATTTTGGGAAGTATATGTGCAAAATAAGAACTTACGCATTCTCTTCATCAAAATTTGCTCGTTTAGATCCAATCTTGTAAAAGGATGGCAGCTGAGGTGGTGGTGTCTTCCCAAACCCAGAAGAACCAGGGGCTCCAAAAGCACTATGGGATTGTTGTGGCAACTTGGGTTCCTCCTTCTTTCCAGAGGATATTGAAAAGCCACCAAAACCAAAGCCTCTCTTAGTGCCAGGTCCACCCTTGTTCCAATTCATGGTATCCGTAATGAATCTAATAAAAGATAAAATGAAATTTAAAACCACGTACCCATTTAAAAGATAAAAAGCTTACATAATATGGATTAAGTAAAAAAGACTGATAGACAAATAAGTTATTACTTTTAACAATTGCCACTATACTTTAGGGAAGTATATCAAAACAAGTACCATTATATTTATTAAAGGACATCATCTTAAGAAAATACAAAATGGGCAAATTAAAGCTTAATTTAATGAAGAATTTTGTCTACTAAGTCAAGGATTCTACTTTTGTTAAGGATTTTCAGAGTTGCTTTTTACTGGTCATTGTAACTAAAATCAGACACTGGAGCAACAATCCTTTTGTGAGAGATGGGGAAGACATGTTCTACTAAAGAGGAAGTGAGATCATTTTTTTCTTGGTACATTCCTTTTCAATTGATTCTGTATATAGTAAAGAAAAATAATTTTGCCACCCTTTTATTCATTCAGGTGAATGAGGAGTGGGATTCATTGCAGCCTAGACTTCTTCCTGAGCTACATGATTCTTTCCATACACTGACAAACTGCAACAGAGTAGTGACTATTCTACACATTTTCCCATCATGATTTTTTAAAATATTCAGTGGTTCCTCCTCTGCGCCTCATCTTCTAAATAACTAATAATCGTAAAAAGAGAAAGAAAAGGAATTTCATCCTACTGTCCATTCCAACCCAAGATTTCCCACTCAATCTTAAATAATTGATATTTCATATAATAAATTATGCCCTGATTATTAAAAACTAGTCTAACACAAAAATTAGCACTGTTATTATATTTATTAATAAGCAAATAGATATAACATCATAGACTAAGCAACTCACTATACAATTTAGCATAAGACTAAGAATCTCCCATCACTTGTTTTCAGGAATAAGTGTTTTAAGAAGTTAGCCAAAATGTAGTTAAGATCATTTATTTTAACAGTCGAACATTTATTATCTGCGTTAGCTTCTCAAATCTACCCTCTTCCAAACTCATTCCATATGATCTCTTACTTACCTCGAGGCGGGCCAGAAACCTGGCCGAAGACACAAAAAGAAGGTTATCTGATGGAAGAAAAAGTGGAAACGATGAGCTTCAAATGTTTACGTGCCCCGACTAGGCCTCAGCCCCGCCCCCTCCTTTTCCTCAACCAACGGCCAAACCGAGGACGATCTAGGCTCTCCTTAGGCCCTTTGCTCTGCCTCTTTGCTCTGCTCCTGTTCGGTTCAACCTACCGTTTATCACTCGGGTATTTGGGGAACTGTCTTCCCTCCTTTCTCCTGCTCAATTGCTATAATGTACAAATGAGGTGGTAGACGTTGCCTGCTGAAATGACCGTGACGTACAGACGTCACGCATATAATAGCCCGACACTCTGCTCTTGAAGGGCCCTTGCACATAAACCTCGTCCTCAAACCGCGGGCCTTTACTCTGCCCGGCGCTCCTTGATGACGTCTGATACCAGCAATAAACTCCGAAGGAGAAAAACGTAGAGCTAGAAATATAGAGTAGCATAACGCATGTTTTTATTTTTCCAAATCTATAAAAACACAATTTTGCCTCCCCCACCACCACATACTCTAGATTTTTTTTTGAATCGAAATCATTTCTTGAAGAAATATGAAAAAGAAAAAAGGGGAAAAATGCAACCCAAGATGCATTATAATTCAATTCTGACTTGGTGGTGGTCCTATAAAAGTTGAGAAAACATAATGCTGTTTTTGTTTTTTACATTTAGGCATTCACAAAACCAAACAACTTGCTTTTTATAAAATTAACAACTAAGAGTATTAAAGACTAAATACTAAGATAAATTGTCTGCTCTTTGTGAATGATACATTTATTTTTTGAGTGAACACACTACTTTCCTAACTAGAAAGAAAAAATTGGAGCTGGAGTAACAGAAGTCCCATCTTCAAAAGTAAGTTCTGCTGAATTTTGAAGGTTCTCACTTTGTGCGTTTCACAGTAAAGTTCTGAAGTCCCTTATGATCATGATAACAACATAAAACCTTTACATGGTATATATTTGTAGGCTGGCAATACCCACCCAATCTTTGATGAATTATGGTATACCTGGCTACTTTTTAAATGGGCAATCACTAGAAAATCTCTTATCAAAAAACTTCCCTTGAAGAAGATAATGGCAAACAACTTCTAACTTGTTCTCAGGACTACCACATAGTCTAAATGATTCCCATGTGTTAATAAAGTCACTCGCTTTGGAGATATCTTACATCACATCAGCATGCACTTATACTATGGTGTTAAACATTTTTAGGCGAAGCTTCAGCTCTTAAATATATGAAGAAGCGCACATACTATTGATAAAACTTATAATTGTTTTGAATACTGGAATGTTTCAGGTCATAAAATGGAAAATCAGTGGTAGCACAATCCAAGTTTGCATATTTAATTGCATGCAGGGTACGCTATAAATAAAACAGAGATAATTCATTTTCACTATGTTTCAGCCACTGTTTAGGGGAAGTGCTAATAGAATGAGTACTGATACCATAAGTTGAACATCAAATTATAATGCAGTTTAATTGAAAATCTTTTCTTCAAAACATCTATAGTTAGTGGTGTTTACTCTCAAGTATAAGCATCTACTAGACTGGAGCCTAACAAACATAGTTGTCCTTCAGTTGACATGAGCATTTATCCTGACAGATTATGCCAGAATGATTGTATACGGTGCCACAAAAGTTCCATATTTTTTTTTTACCAAAAACATTAGCAAAGATCAATAAATACCAGTTGATGGGCTAAAATGTCATGGCACAGGAGAATTAATCTCCGTTTATAAATACAAATGGGATGGGGAGAGGTAGATATGCTAAACTTGACTTTTAGAATCCAGTATAAAAAACGTCACACACAACATTGATTTCACCCTAAGTCACTGCCCTGCGCCCGCAGAAAACACGATGCATATTTTTCCAGAACAAAGGAAATCTCGGTTTCTTTTTCGTTCTCTTCTAATCGCCTAATAAATCACCAAAACGCAAAGAAGTTCGCCAAGACCTGGAAGCAGCCAGGTATCCTTCTAAGGAACCGTCCCCTCGCTCTCTTCCAACATCCCTTCCCGTTAGGCCACTTCCCTTTTCTGGCCTTTCAAGGAGCATGCGCTGACTTACGCAAGTAACGTAACGTACGGCGAAGAACGGCAGGGCGTGTTGGGATCGTTCAACCTAGCGGAGGAGCGAGTTGGTCTTGGGGACGTTGAGAGGCTAAAACCTGAGTCTGAGGTATCGAGCAGGAGGGCTTGAGGACTAAGAGATCCGGGGAGGGGTGTGGAGGGAGCTCTCTCTTGTGAGGCTAGATAGTAAGGTAAATTATAATGTTGTTCCCCAGTTCGGGAAAGGCGTGGACATGGCCCCGTCCTGGGAGAGGAAAAACAGCCCCCAAATTGGCTGTACACGAGGGTTGCCTCTCACAGGTGTCTGCTTGGGCCTGGCGTTGGCTCACCGAAGCTAGCTTTCCCCACCTCGTTCCCTCCAGGTGACCTGGACTGCACTCTTAGCAATCCGGGCCACCCTGGAATGGCTGAAGGTGATTTATTCTGGTTGGAACAGGCTCTGTTGGGGATCTGGCTTGGCTCTACTAATCATTTCCACCGCTTTTTAGATACTCTTTTTTTGAGGGGCGGAGGGGGGGGTATCTAGGCCAATCCTGCGAACGCCTTTCACACGTGTCTTACTAAACTGAAATAATAAAAATTGAAACTTAGAAAACTGGTGAGTAGGAAATTGTCTGTATAAAGATCTTTTTTTAAAAAAAAAAGGCTAGCAGATTCGTGCTAATGTAGTGCAATAGTAATTACAATCTGCTCTACAAATGCAGGTTTTTTTTTGTAGCCCTCAAGTGATAATGTTAGAAACACCGAGATGTCAGAGTTTCCAGTGTTTCATGAGCTTAGAAATTTAATGCTGCCCTCTTGAAATCTTAACATTGGTAATTTTGGGGTGTGTCATAGTACACCTTCCATGAATCCATTAATTATATTGAGGTTAGGCAGGTTAGGCAGCTTGATGCCTTCCCCAGCAGTTATAGACTTCAATTCCCAGTGTCCTTTGTTAACATGGAAAGCGGTAAAGAATGGGGGGAGTTGAATTTCAGCAGCTGGAAAGTAATCTATACTATCATTAAACCTTTAATCACAGAAAGAATTATGCAAATTTCAACCAACATGCTGTGAAGATCGAATTATTTAAATAATACATTATCTATTCAAGTCAAGCATATGCGGGTGTCAGGACTACTGGGAAACTACAGCATGTTGTTTTTTAAAATATAATATAGTGGTCCGTTACTCATAGTTAAAACAGTGGCCGTTGGATAAGTACAACAGTCTTCAATAGCTTGCCAGCATGTGTAAATTATTGCGCCAATAGAATGATTTGATTCCCAGCTCAAATATCAGTTCAAAACACAACTTGGTTACAAAGGTCAATGAGTTGGACTGATTTTTTTTTCTACTTCTCCATTTTCTTTTTATTTCTTATGCTACCATTATGCTATATTGGTCAATGGTTCAAGAAACAGGTTTTATAATTTTAAGGAAGAATTTTAAAACAAGGATTTGTGAATTACTTTTTCAGTGACAAAGCTAGGACATATGCCAATTTTTAAAAGGTTATTTTAATTGCATATCAATTGATTCTATTTATATTTTTTCCGATTTCACGTTTTTCCATATTATAATGACAAATGGCCATGTAATATAATCACACTTTGGATTGACTGAGTGAGGTGGAAAAGGTTGATACCCAGTTGTATACATACAGTCCTCAACTACAACTGGTTGTTTAAAAACCATTCAGTTACAAAACACCCATTGGGGAAAATGATTTGCTTAAAGATCATGATATTCACTTAATGGCTGTTGTAAAAAAAACAGTGGTAAATTCAAATCCAGTCAAATGGTATCTTGACTTATGACTGTAATTCGGGCTCAATTACAATTGTAAGTCAATGACTAGCTGTATATCAATCATAGCACCCTTTTTTTCTGTCTCAGTGTCTAGAGATGGGCGGCGGGGGCAGGGGGAGGAGCCTGGATAGAAAGGACCAATCTGAGGTTTACCTTTAGCAAGACCAAGTGGCTTAGGGAGTCACCTAGATCTGGAAATTTTTCCTTTTTAGTTCTGAATGGAATTGTACAGACATAGGTAGGAGAACCTTGCATAAATTCATGTTGTGCCAAATGGCCCCATTACTTAATGATCATAGTCACTTATGGCCTAGTGACCTTGCAATTAGAGAATTGCATTGTACATTATATGGGGCTTTATTTGAAGACCACTCAGAACTCCCATCTAGTCCAGAATGCAGTGGTGTGGGGATACACATGAGCATGCTTGTTGCATGAACCATTGGTTGCCAGTGAGATTCCAATGCCATTCAATATTTTTTTTTGTAGTCATTTGAACAGTCCTTAATAGCACAAGATCAGGATATTTGCATGATCATTTGTATCCAATTATCTCTGCTGTTCCAACAAAACTTAAAGGGTTGGCATGTTCCAGGCCTCATCAATTAAACAGTATCATCTCATGGGATCAGGGGACATGCATTCTCAGTTGCCAGGGATTCTCTGTTACCATGCCTTCCCTATTGTACAACATTCCCCTTGAAATTTGGATGGTCCGAGCTGGCCTTGAAGAAAAGTCCTTAAAGGCACTGGCCTGGATATTATGCAAGCTAATAATGTTTTGAATGTGAATTGCATTCAGTGAGTCATTCCTTTCCTAACGATTTCCTTTGTGTTTTTTAATTTTAAAAAAGTTGATAATTGTCCGGAGTTGCATGATAAGCAAGCAGCCATGTAAACTGAAATAAATAAATTATGTTTTTGAAGTACAGGCTGAATAGGTTTGCATTATTTACATTCAATATGAGACAAGTAGTTTGGGTTTGGTATGGATATACTTATTAATATTTATTTAGATTTTTTTTATTTAATGCTGTAGACACGTATAGTAAGCATCTCTACACCAGATATGAAGCATCTTCCTTGCCTCAGGGCATATCAAGCTAATATAATGTAGGTTCAGGAATTCCAACAGTCAGATTCAGGATAGGAACCCTTTTGTTGTTAAAGCATGAGAAATTTAAAAAGTGTGGAGTCACTGCTAATCTATTACCCTTATATTATATTAGTAGATTCTGAACTACCTTCTGCCCACTCCCTATTCAAATGTTACCTTACTATCAAAAGTTGGGCACTGATTTCTGATAAACTCCTGGAAAGATGGCTTATTTTGGGGAAATAGTAATTTGCAACATTTTATTGTAAGTTCTGGTTGCTAATGATAAACAACAAATTCATTGAACATTCACTTTGCTATCAATCCAGCCCACATCCCATGGTTTTTGTGGAGAAAAAGAAAAAGAAGAGGGAGTACTAGATGCACCTGGTGGAAACTTATGATATTAATTTATTATTATTACGTTGGGTACTTACATTTTTGAAAGTGCTGTACAGGATGAGACACACAATTACTGAATGTGATACAGTATTCTTTTTCTAGTTTGTTTCAAACTGACCCATTTTTACACTGGAGAATTACTGAATGTGATACAGTACTCTTTTTCTACTTTGTTTTTAAACTGACCCATTTTTTCACTGCTGTATTAAAAGAAAATATTTTGAACTTGAAAGATTTTGGATCTTTGCTATTTTTTATTTATTGAACATTTTCTTCCCCAGCAACAATGAGAAGTTGGTGGTTTTTGGTGACTACATTCTTTATCCTATGGGGTCTTTCTTTGGCTAAATTTGAGGAATTTGATGACGATGACTTAGTGGAATATGATGATAATGATTTTGCTGAGTTTGAAGATGTGATTGAAGCCACAGAATCTCCCCAGCGGATTGTTACAGCAGAAGAGGAGGAGGAGGAAGCCACAGTAGAACTTGAAGGACAAGATGAAGGCCTTGACTTTGAGGATGCTGATGGACAGGTGATATGAGGGGAAGATCTTAACTTGTCTTTTTTGGTGCAAAGAGATAAAAATTGTAAGACTATATATTAGGAAATCAAATTATACTGTGTATTTTCTTTAGTTTGTATCTGTAGTGTATATCTTATATAAATTCTATTTTTAAAATTTAAGCCATTGTATACTATAAAGCTTGACATAGTATCAGTGTTAATTGGCCAGTTTCTTTGGCAAAATAAGTTTTTGACTTTTTTAAAAGCAAGGAAACTTGTATTGAAAAGTATCATACAATGCTGGAGTGAGATGAGACTACACAAATCTATAACTTGTAGTCTCATCTGATATATACATAATTATTGTAATTAAGGAATTCTGGAACATCAAATATCTCCAAATATCTATAAATCAGAAGTGGAGAAATGCTTGAGAAAACAAGCTGCATTTAAAAAAAAATATTTTCGGTGTTCCAAGGTCTGCAAGAACAGCAGGGATGTAAGCAAAGGAATGGGATCAATTTTTGTCTCTAATGGAAATCATAAGATTTTTAAAAAGTTTAGTGTAGATACTGTAGGTTTACTAGAGATTTAAGATAACCGTTGCACAGTTTATTTAATGTAAGAAAAGAACTGTAAAAAACAGAAATCTGCTGAATTCTGAAGGCACAATCTTGAAGGTTGGAGACCATATTTAAGTTGTAGGTTGATATATCTCTTGTCGTTAAGTATCATATAATGCCTATAATTAAAATCTGTTTAGTCTTGCATGCAATTTTGCAAGTATTTCATATTGCTGTTATAATCCTTGCCATAAACTTTTCCATGATTACAGAACAATCCTATAGATGATCAATTTATAAACTGCAGATTTGTATTTCCTTTTTGTATTGAAGCTGAATTTACTAGGCCAGAGCATCATATTCAAACAGCTGAGCAGATAGTGAACTATGTACAACTTTCCAATGTGCAATTTATGATCTAATAGCCTGTGATTATACTACTGAAATTCAGAAGCAAAATAGCTAATTTTGGCTGTACAACTTTTCACTGTTGGGACTTTTTGTTTGTTTAGTTTCAAAAATGAGGGAGGGAATATAAGAAGTTTCAGGGAGCTGAGCTGATCCTATTTTCATTCTTAATACCCTCCAGCCCTACATCTGAAATAACATTTTGTTGCCAACTTTTAGAAGCATGGTTTAGTAATAATTAGTGATTGGAAGCACATAAAGATGGAAATGAGAGTGATTTGATATGATCCCACAGAACTGAGTTTCAGCATTCAATTACTGAGTTATTGCCCATGCATAAGTAGAAGATTGTAATTAGCAATCCAGTTTTCTTGCATGGGCATGATGGACATATGATGAGCTTCATATTCTGCTGCACTTGTAGCCTACTTTTGTGCATGCCATTCTTTGGTTAGTTGAACCCTTTGTGATTGAATCCCAAAAATGCTTTTTCCATAAGGGAACTGAACTTTTTTTGGGGGGGGGGGGTTCTTTGCAAATGTTTTGCTTATCCAAGAAGCTTCTTCAGTTCTGACTAAATGATGGGGAATGGAAGGATTTATATTCTTTGCAGTCACCTGGTCATTAGCACTCTTAAGGGTCAACTGTTAGTGTTAACTCTGAGAGTCATTGAAGTCTCATAGGGGTTTATCTGAATCCTAAGAATCATCTGAATCAGAGTGTTAATGGGTATGGAAGCTTCTTGAGACTGCTGAAAGGACTGCAATGTAAATAGATAAGTGGTGTATCTCTCCCCCTCTGTTGAGGGGGGGTGCTGTTTAATTTTAACATGTGTAACCTTTTTGATCCCTCTTTCAAACAAGTGGTTCCCCTATCCACAATGTGAAACATTAGTATTGTAGACAGAAACATTAAGTTCATGTGGGACGATATGAAAGAAAATGGCATTCCTGACTTATGCAATATACATCAAGGAGACAAAAGGCTCAACACTGAAGTATACAGAAAACCTACACACAGAGATCAGTATTTATATTTTCATTCTTACCATCAAGTGGATCACAAGCTGGGAGTAATCAGAATCTTATACCACTGGACTGAAGGTGTGTCTACCAGCAAGGAGGAACAAAAACACAACAAGGAAGCTCACTGAACATGTCGCTCTCCTAAATGGGTCTTCATCAAATCCATAAAAAGATCCAACAGGAGCTCCTTCATAACAGGCAAAGAAGAAAACAACAAATGAAGCAATGTTGTCATTCCCTATGTTGTAGTAGCACAAGTTATGTGCACACTTTAAACTCAGGAATATATTAAGGCAGAAGTTTGTCCAGCCCAAGGGCAAAACACCCACACACAAACAATGTGGTATATGCAGTACATTGCAGCAAGATATGTGCAGACCTGTACATTGGAGAAACAAAACAACCACTTTATAGATACATGGCCCAACACGGGAGAACAAATTCACCAGGACAAGATTCAGCAGTCAATCTGCATTTGAAATGGTCACTCTTTTGAACAAATTCATATTCTACACAGAGAAGGCCCACTGGTTTGAAAAAGGGATCAAAGAAGTCATCTAGGTTAAAATTGTATGGACTTTTCTCAACACAGAGAGAGGGGTACGACACCAATTATCTCTTGTTTACAATTCAGTGCTTTCAGCAGTCCCAAGAAAGTTCCACACCCATTTACACTCTGATTCAGGTTACTCTGAGGAAATAGATAAACCCCCAAGTGGCCTCAATGACACTCAGACTGCTAACGCTAATGACTGATCCTCAGAGGCTAACAAATAGATGACTGCAAAGAATATAAATCGTTCCATTCCCCTACAGTCAATTAGAACTGGAGAAGTTTCTTGGGTGAGAAGTGAAACATTTTCAGAGAAAAACTCAAGAAAGTCCAGTTGCCTTTTGGAACAGTACCTCTGGGACAACATTGACCTGGATAATTGAGAATCTCCATAGATATGTGGTTGAAGCAGTCAAAGATGTATAGGTTGTTTTTAAAATAGAAGAAGCAGAAGATAGCTGCATGTTTAAAAGTCAGTCATTTACTATCTCATTTTCCTGAAACAATGGATATTTCTGTACATTTTGCCTTCTTATTGTAGGAAAGTGATACAGAAAGTGAGCCCTATGATGATGAGGAATTTGAAGGCTATGAAGAAAAACCTGATGCAACTCTTGGCAAAAATAAGGATCCTATTACTATTGTTGATGTAAGTAAACATTATGAAAAGTTCTATGTAATCTCTAATTAATGTCTCATATTAGGTTTTCTCCTGTATTATAATTAAGACTGCAATCATAAGTGTCTTGGATTAATCACTTTGAATGAAATAGGGGTAGACTCTCTGGTATAATGTGTATATGTATGTGTACACATGCACGTGCACACACCCACTTACTTTTTCTCTCCCCTTTCCCTGCATATGTGTGCGTGTAGTTTATGCTAATTTATGTTTTTCCTCTGCCCGAACTCTTCAAAAGCACCAGAACTTTTCTTGGTAGACTTTAATTAGTTGATAAATGGAGGTGACAGTGGGCTTATTCCAAAGGTAATTATAAACCCTGGTAAATACTGATATTCATAGTAGCTAAATAGCAAAATCTAGATGCTTAAAACCTTGCTGAATTATAGTAAATCATAGATATGATCCAAATAACATCGTGAAGTCAGATAAATTTAAAGAAAATAATTCTCAATTGCAGTATTTCAGCAGTAAAGAGTCCCTGGTGCTCTCTGAGCGTGGTTGTTTTCTTGCAGACACTTCATTACCCAAACTAGGTAAATTCATCTGCGCTGTTGGGTAATTTGGGTAATGAAATATCTGCAAGAAAACAACCAAGCTCAAAGTATCAAAGAACTTCATTTCAACTCTGAACTATAAATATTCTTATCTATTGGTATTTCAGGGGTATTCAACGGTATTTCAGAGGATTAAAATAAGTTTATGAGAAGAATAGATTGTGTTGATTTAGAATTTTTTCTCTGTGCCTGGAGTTTGAATTGCTGATTGCTAAATTAATAAAACCTGATTATAATGAAGAGCTAAGATTTGGGTTGGAAATGGGTTTCCCCCCCATAAATGAAATAGCTTTTTAACAATGTTCAAATTCATCAGGTGCCTGCACATCTTCAAAACAGTTGGGAGAGTTACTACATGGAAATTTTAATGGTGACAGGGCTTCTTGCTTATATCATGAACTATATCATTGGAAAGAATAAGAACAATCGTCTGGCCCAGGCCTGGTTCAGTAGTCATCGAGAGCTTCTTGAAAGTAACTTTACACTAGTTGGTGAGTTGGTTTATGATTTATCCTTATCTTCTCCCTTTTTCCTGTGAAAACAAAATTATAGACAAAATCCAGGGATTCTTAGAATTAGTGCAGTTCAAGGTGGTATATGTGATAATGTAGTTTTTTCAGGACGAGGGCTTAGAAAACAAGGAACACTAATTGGAGTGTAGAATTAACCAGGCTTCAAACCTCCTTCAGAGCCTTTCTGTAGTTTGACTTGAAGTATCAAATGTATGGAATCACCATGATTCAGCATGAAAGAACTAGTTGAGAGGATAGTGAGGGGAGGAACTACCGCTGCACCGTAGAGAGTATTTTAACTTACTGCACCTGTGTATGGTTTGCCAATTGCACAGTGGCAGATAGGACAGCACTCTAGAATGTCAACGACATTGCCCAGAGGATCATCGGTTGCCCTCTTCCCTCTTTGAAAGAACTTTATTGCTCCCGCTGCCTTAAGAAAGTTCCAAATATTCTTACAGATCCATCTCATCTTGGGCACCCTTTTTTTGAACTATTACCACCTGGCAGACGGTACAGGATAATAAAAACTGATAGGCTGAAAAACAATTTCTATCCCAGGGCAATAACCATATTGAATTCTATGTTATAGTGCAATATTAGGGTTTCAATTTCAATTATATAGACTGTAAAGAATATATGTTTGTGTTTTTATTTTTATAGTTATAATGTATACTGAAGATGGCATTTAATTTTGTTGTACCATGTGCAGTGACATTAAACTAAACTAAACTAAAAAGCAAAGGAGCAATACTTGCATAATGTGTTGCAGTAACTTGTTCTCACTGGGAATATCATCAACAGCAGCTCAGTATAAATAATAAATGCCCATTAATTGGTATATTTTTTCTTTCAAGGTGATGATGGCACAAACAAAGAAGCCATAAGTACAGGCAAACTGAACCAAGAGAATGAACATATCTATAATTTGTGGTGTTCCGGTAGAGTGTGTTGTGAAGGCATGCTTATCCAACTCAAGGTATAAGAAATTCCAAATCCAGCAGTGGGTTGTCTTGTAGTAAACCAACAAAGTTCCTGGAATGCCAATTGTTTGGAAATAGCAACAATATTACTTTTCTCTGTATTAAAAAAAGAAAAACAATACAAGCATTCAACAATGAATGCTTGCATTGCAAGAATGTTAAAATGTTAGAACTTTTTGAAACTTTGGAGCCAGAAGAAATTATTCTGACAAAAAAAAATCATAGATGACAGACAAGGCTCTCAGAGGTCAAGATTTTGAAACAAAGGTTTTATCTTCTAGGATCTGTACTGAGAATCTTAGACTGTAGGCACAAAAAATGAGCTGGCAGATATTGCATTAGTTTTGAAGGTTCAGCAGCAAAGAAATTTAATAATTAAATACCCTGCAAAGAACTTCAATAATTAAGGCTGAACTATGTTAGAAAAAAGAGGACACTAGTTCACTTGGCAAGAACTGATATTATATAACTAGTCATGGTTAACAACAGTATTCTGAATTTGCAGTATCTGAAATGTGTTTAGAGTACTCCTATATTAGCTGTACCACTAAAACCCATTTTGTTGATGGTAATTTTAAGGGGGATTAATATTGGGCAGAATTGCTAGGTACAGGCTGAGTGCATGTCTTCTACCCCACCAACTTTCTCATGAAGAACATGGAAGCTAGTAAATAAAACTTATATCCCCTAAAATGGGTCATTCCGTCCTCTTGCTAAGAGTCTTAACAAGATAGGACTTCCTTATGTCCCATTTTCCCATGGGAAAAGGCAGCATGATGCCAGAGTCCTAAGACAAAATCTTGTACTCTAATTTTGTTTACTTAAAGCTTCTCCTAGATATGGATGTTATGGATAGTCTGGAAGTACATCTGTGTATATCTTGTCTTGCCTGGACTGGAGAAATTGGTTTTCACTATCTGGATCCTTAATGTATATCAGCTGCCTTGTACTGTGGGAGAAAAGCAGCATAAAATATATTAAAATAACTCCAGAATGAATCTTTTATACAGATTGATATCTTTGTGGCAGGAAAGCTTGTAATGTTCTTTGGACTAGGGGTCTCAATGGAGGGATGAGAAGTTCTCACATTTTTGAACTTTTCCCTTTTCAGTTTCTTAAGAGACAAGACTTGCTGAATGTTCTTGCACGCATGATGAGGCCAGCCTGTGACCAAGTGGTATGTGTTAATTTTATAATCAAAAATAGCTCGAGTGAATTATATTCATAACAGTTGTTTGATTAACTTATTAAAAGTATAGGTCTGTAGATGTGATGCTTCTACTCTCACAGTGGGAGTCACTGCTTTCTGTTTTTTCCTAATAAAAGTTCACAAATTGTAACCCATATGGCTGCAAAAATATGTTTTCATTTTTTTTTTACATTTTCTTTTAAATCCCAGAAGCAGCATGTGTCTTAGTAGAAATTCAGAGTCAAAGCATGTGGGTTTTATCATTGTGTCAGTTGGTACCAAAATAAGTATATTATATGCATATTTTATAATCAGATTGGGGACTAATTTTTTTCTGGGAAATGACCAGTATTGTTCTGATGGTATGCTGCAAATAAAAGTAGGCAGCAATACAGATCCCTAATAATACTACAGATAGTCCTTGTTTAACATCCACTTGTTCAGGGATTGAAGGTATGACATCACTGAACAAAGGGTACTTATGACAAGTTTTATTTGCAGCCATTACAATGTCCCTAAAGTCTTGTTAGAACAATTAATCAGTTAGAACAATTAATCAGTGGAACAGCTTGCCTCCAGAAGTTGTGAATGCCCCAACATTGGAAGTCTATAAGATGTTGGAGAGCCATTGTCTGGAACGGTATAGGGTTTCCTGCCTAGGCAGGGGGTTGGACTAGAAGACCTCCAAGATCCCTTCCAACTCTGCTATTGTATTGTATTGTATTGTATTGTATTGTATTGTATTGTATTGTATTGTATTGTATTGTATTGTATTGTATTGTATTGTATTGTATTGTATTGTATTGTATTGTATGTGATCATTTAGGCACATGGCGAATTGCTTGAGATTATGACATCACTGCATTTTCCAATCAACTTTCTCTGCTAGTTTCAAACAAGCAGATTCAATGGGGAAACTTGCAGGAGATCCCAACCACTTGATCATGGGATACTGGGATCATAGGATACTGAACACATGGCAATGACAGCATTTGGGATTGTTTGTTCTCATAAATTGATGCAGTTACATGACATCAGCCTTACTACTGTAATGTTTAACGTTGGAATTCCTGTTCCAAATCCTGATGGTAAATGATCCCCACCTGTATTCTATAATACAACCTGTATTGTATGAAATGAATCAAAGTGTATTCTCCAGTTGCTAAATGCATGAGATGAAAAACTGTGTGCCTTTTTGCCATTTTAAGAAGTTCTGCAGTTGTTATTATTTTACTGAGAAAATACTATAGTGTATTTTAGAGATTCTGAGAGTAATCTTGGAGCTCTCCTTAAGCATGACCTGATCTTGGCTAAATGGACATTTGCTATTCAGGTCATTTTATGTTTTTACCATATGATCAAACTATTATTGTACCAATGAATCTTCCTATGCAAAATAACCCAAGTGTGCCTATTATTACATGTTTTATCCAGCAAATAAAAGTTACTATGAATGATGATGATATGGATACCTACGTTTTCGCTGTTGGGACAAGAAAAGCCTTGGTACGGCTTCAGAAGGAAATGCAGGACCTGGTATGTATTGGAGCTGTGGAAATTTGGGAGTTAAAGAAGGAAGATGAGGGTATTTTAAAACATATGTTGAGCCTTACAAATGGTCCAGGACTGTTTTAACTACATATTGTGTTAATGTATTGCCTTCTCATAATTAATTGGATGCAGTCTCTGAATTCACTCAATGTGTTTCAACATGGGGCCATTTCAAATGTACAGGGTAGTCCTTGGGTTACGATGGCAATTCCAACCGGAATTGTCGTCACTAAATGACACTGTTATAAAGTGCAATGTCATGTAACACTGCAGCTCCAAACAACTATCATTAAGTGAGGACCGTGCAGGTTGTTAAGCAAGGACTTTATATGACTGTGACTTCTGATTTCCTACCAGCTTCTATATTGACTTTCCACATTCAAAATTGTGATCATGTGACTGCACCTTACTGTAGTGTCACAATTGCATGCCAGGCACTTGGATCACATGTTATGGGGAAGGTGTGATGGCCAAAACTCACAAGGAGCAGTCATAATTCCTGCTCATTCAGTGCTGTTGTAATTTTAAAAAGACACTGAACAAATGGATGTAACCAAGGACTATCTGTACTTATATACCAACGTTTGTTGCTACAGTAGCTCTATTAGCAGATTTCTCTGACTCGTGTCTTTTCTTTCTCTCATACTCTTGTATGCCATCATTCTCTAGCTTGTAACAAGTCTGATTTGCAATGTCAATCTAGTTTACTAGCTTTATAGCTAATTTGGGCAGAGAACCATTGTGCAGCTTGGGATGACATTAAAAAAATTGTTACAACTTTTGGGGACAGATCCTACAATGGAAGGGGTTTTTATGTTTTATTTATATGTACCATATTTTTCAGAGTATAAGATGCACCTAGCTTTTGGGGAGGAAAACTAGGAAAAAAATCTTTCTCTGCCTCCCAACAATTTGCCTCCTTGCAGCAAACAGCTAACAGCCTGTTTCAGTTTAGCCTGATTAGCACAAGAAAAAGAAAACCTGTCTCTGCCCCCCAGCAATTTGCCTCCTTGTAGCAAACAGCGTGTTTCAATTTCAGCACAGCCTGATTAGCACAAGCAGCTGATTTGGTTGGATCAGCCTCCCCACAATCAGCTGTTTCAAGCTGCAGGGATTGCCATAGCCTATTGCCGCCTCTGTGTGTCCTGTTTTCATCATCTGCACGTCCAGTTTTCAGCCTTTGTGTGCCACATTTTCCACCTGTTCCGGGAAGTAGGGATCAGAATGGGCAGAAAATGGGGTGAGGCTGAGAGGGAGGCCAAAAACGGGGCACACGGAAGCAGCAATAGGAAATTGCAATCCCTGCACTCTGAAACAGCTGAAGGCCAACTGACAATCAGCTGCTTGTGTTAATCAAGTTGTGCTGAAGCGGAAATTGAAACAGACTGTTTGCTGTTTGCTGCAAGGAGGCAAATTGCTGGGAGGCAGAGGCCGGCGGGTGGGCGGCACTACATTAGATGTATAAGACACACCCAAATTTTCACACTCTTTTTGGGGGGGGGAGTGCATCTTATACTCTGAAAAATATGGTATCTTCAATTTATATATATATATTTTATTTTAACAAACAACATAGGAATTTAAAACTGCTATTGTAATCCTTTTTTTAAACATCAAAAATTATGCTGGAATGTGAGATCTTTTATTCCAGATTTAGAACCTCTCACAATCCCTAAATGCAGTATAATTCTTGTGTAATCAGAAGCTATTATTCTTTCAATTGAGCAGAGTCTTGTTCTAGCAGTTAAGTTCCTAAATCACTTTCAGAGTTTGGATTAGCTTGATTGGATATTTAACTGTGCAAGGAATAACAGATATACCTTATAACATGGCAATTCCTTTTTGGCAGAGTGAGTTCTGCAGTGATAAACCCAAAACGGGGGCAAAATATGGGCTCCCAGAAGCACTGGCTATCTTATCAGAAATGGGTGAGGTCACAGAAGGAATGATGGATACGAAGGTAATGTAAAATAAATAGTTAAAATATTCAAGTTGCGATAATGTTCAATTCTCATGAGAATACAAGTTTGCATTTTGCTGTGCATTGGAACATCCTTATTTGTTTTATTTATTTGTTTTAAAATGAAGTATTTTCTGTCTTGAATGGTTCTGAAAAACTAAGCATTCGGTTTTGGAAATAAGCATATGGCTGGCAGAATAATTGGTAAATGAGTATTGTATGTATTGTCATGTGGTTAAGTGTGAAGCAAAGGTTATCTGAAATCGTGCCATTCTATGAAGGTACTGATTAATTCTGGGCAAAAGTATACTTAATCCATTTGTCTCACAGTTTAGTTATAAATAATGATTAAACACAGCATTTTCACAGACCCAAAGTCTGACTAGTTCAACTTGATTCCTTTTGGTGGAATCCAATCAAACATTCCTAGACAATTTATCTAGCATGATATGAATTACATGATACCTTACTTTCTAATTTATGATGACAACTTGATTGTTGATGCTGTGTTTTTTACTGTTGATGAGTCATACTTCGCCATATCTCATTCATAAACAAAAGCCATGGCATTGTTTTGTTAATGGCTTATGGAATCCATTGCTGTTTAAAACCAATATGTTTAGGTAATTGAACCAATTCAAGAATAATAGGTCTGACTGTCAAAGGAAATGAGAGCTAAATAAAATCTCCAATTCCAGAGATAGTTTACTGCTGATACTATCATGAGAGACTGTGGATGAATTGTTAGAACTTTACCCTAATTCAGCAGGACTAATGTTGGAAATATTATCAAATTATAGGTAATCCTTGATTTATGCATCTTTCCTTTGAAGTTATGATGCTGCTGAATGAATGGTGGTTATAAGCAGTCCTTGGAATTCTGGCTATCCTAGCACCCTTGTGGTCAAATGATCACAATTTGGGCACTTGATAGCAGGTTCACATTTAACAACAGGTTGTAGCACCCTGTGAACACCATTTGCAAGCTTTGTTACCAGTTTCCTCAGAAAGTTAATGGGTTAAGGTGGCAAGGAAAGTGGCAAAATGCTGGGATTAGTCTCTTCCCTCTGTGCAATCCCTTTGCACTTTCTACAAGCCTCCCTGTGCATCCCTCACACACCCTTCATGAACGTACCACATCTTCCTTGCATCCTGATGTACCCACTCGCACCCTATTCCACCCAGCAGCAGCCATTTTCCTGCTACTGATTTCCTTGCAAGCTATCTGGGACTTGTAACTTTTCTGCTGGCTTCCCAACTGACCTAGCTATGTGAAGCTGGCAGGAAGTTTTGTTGCCTAACAACTGGGATTCAGTTAATGACAGCAAGTCGGGACTGCAAAGGTTGCCATATTTAAGGTATGTAAAGTTGCATTTTATGACAGGATCACTTATGACTGAAACTTAGCTCCCAACTGCCTTCATAAGTTGACATTTTGCATACATACAGAAGACAGGGAAATAGTTGCTAGCCTTTCCCAATTTTGTTTGTGTGTGTGTGTGTGCGCACGCGCATGTGTTTGTGTGTATACATATACACATACACATACATATACACATACACATATACATATAAATATGCTTCTATTTTTAATATTTTAAATCTCTTTTATTTTGGTAGATGATCCATTTCCTCACACATTATGCTGATAAGATTGAGTCAATTCATTTTTCAGACCAATTTTCCGGTCCAAAACTTATGCAAGAGTGAGTATGGCACAAAATATACTTTTGTATTTCCAAATGAATATTGCACTAAAATTTGCAAAAGGGAAATTAGAGGAGAAATTTATCTTAAGAACCATAGTCTGACACCTATTGTATTGTATATTTCTGATAACAATACTCATGAATTGGGGATGACTATCCTTTCAGCAATAGAGCATGTTTTCCAGTATGTTGAATAAAGTATTAGATATGTTTGAACAAGGGCATTAAATAAAAAAGCTCAATGTAATACAACTATCCCAACTATTAATACCTATTCTAGCTGTTGGGAAGATGAGCATTTGCAATGCATTCTCTCTCAATAATTGTCCAGATGCCATTATAGGGTAGATAATGCTGTATGTTTACAGCACAGGTGTCAAACTTGCAGCGTCACATTGCTTTCATATGATGTTTTGCGATGTTTTTTTCCTTCACAGAGCTTGGGTAGGTGTGACCTGCATGTGATGCACCCAGCCCGCTGGCTGCCACTTTGACACCCCTGGTTCATAGCATTTAACTACCATAAATGTTTACTATATTTAATTGTGGCAAGGTGCAGGCAAGGATCTGTAACAGCTTATTTCCTGCGCAATAGATAGGATAAATCACTACAACAGATAAACTGCTGCTGATGAAGGAGATCCTGCATTCCTTTATGTTGTTCTTTTTGCAAGGGAGGGGTCTCTAAAGTGGTATCTCCTGGATGACTTAATCTTTCAAGATAATGACCAAAGAAGCTGTTGCCAGATTTCTCTTCCTGTGTTTCCAATGGACTTTATGATGGGAAGTTCTCCCAAGACTCATAAGCATTTTTGTTAGGTCCTAATTAGGTCCTAAAGGAGGCTGAAAGACAATAACAAAACAGCATAAATAATGTCTTCTAAAATATTATTTTACTGACCTTTTATTAAAATATATTAGTTACAAGTGATGCTACCAGACTCCTGGCTTTTTGTTGCCATAGATTAAGGATTCTCCTTCTTCCAAGAAATTTTACAATTTATAATATTGTAAGATAACCTTTGTTGTCAGGCTTGTGCAACTTCACCCAATATGTCTTCACCTACTATGGAGTAACTTTCTACCAGTAGATATTGCTGTTGCCATTTTTTTGTAGTCATTTTTAAAATCCTTTTATCAGTGCTTCTTTTTGTTCTCACCCAGGGAAGGCCAGCCTTTGAAACTGCCTGAAACTAAAAAGACACTGCTATTTACTTTTAATGGTAAGAATAGGCTCCTGTTTTGAATAGCTTTCCTTAGGAAACATAGAATATTACCCCTGAGAGCGTATTTCAAAATCAGAATATAACGTATAATCTGTCCTGATTAACAGGTCTATTTCTAACATTTGTTTGGCTCCAATTATAATTTGGCATAAGGATGGGATTAAAATGTAGTTAAAGAAAGGAAAGATAGAGGGTTTATGGGAATCTTAGCAGAGGCATGGGTACTGTTGACTATTTAAAAATACCATGTTGCCTTGGTTGCCTAAAATTTAATATTAAGTAGAATAAATATCTCTTAATTGCTATAATTGTGAATTGCACTGTATAGGGATTTCTACCATGTCAGCATCTCAATGAAACTAACAGGAATGTTACAGATAAATGCAGATTAGAATGATGAAGTGACTTTATTAAAAACTTAAAAATTTGTCTTCCTGGAGTTGTCCATCATATCTATCCTACATAGTTTCAGAGTCTTTTGTTTTGCTCTTGCCTAGTTCTTAAAGTGAAGCTTATCAGTGTATGATGCAATGAGTTTTGTTTTTCAGCCAGCTTGTCAAAAAGTCTGATGATGATTCAGAACTGATAGCAAGTGACCAACCCAAGACCATCCCCTAAGGAATGACTAAATCTGGTCTTCCCAGTCCACTACATCATAGTGACTCTTTGTATACACCTATACATTTTAGTTCATAAGTAAGACTGAACACAAATGTCCTTCTTATTTATAGTACCAGGTTCAGGCAATACTTCTCCCAAAGACATGGAAGCTCTGCTGCCTCTGATGAACATGGTTATTTATTCTATTGATAAAGCAAAAAAGTTCCGTCTGAACAGAGAAGTAAGTTTTATGTTAACCCAGTCTACCATTATGCTAATTGTATATGCATGACTCATATAATGAAAATGTTTAAAACTCCATGCAATCCATGTCCCAGATATGTTTGGATTCCTTTCTGCTCTACCACCATTTCATTCAAAACAGCTGAACTGACCCAGCATCGATGTCCAGGGGACTATTGGATGCATTCAGAAATGTTACAAAGGGAATAGGAAATTGAGAGTCTTCTCCTCATTTTGGTCTTTAGCAGTGGGCACTCAAAACATGCCTTTTTTAGTCTAGGACAGTGATGGCGAACCTTTTTTGGCTCACGTGCCAAAAGCGAGGGGAGCGCAGGGAGGTTGTGCGTGGGTGTGCCACACCCATAATGCTATGCGCACGACCCCAGTGGCCATGCATCCACGACCAGCACTCCCCCCGATTTTGGCGTGCTTTTTCCGCCCCCCCCCCCTCCTATAAAGAGGCCTCCCCCTCCGGAGGTCCTGCAGCGGCTTCAGGAGTTTTCCAGAGCATGAAAAACTGGCCCCACGGACAAACCGGAAGCTCAGGAATGGACTTCCAGTTCGCTCATAGGGCCGGTTTTAGCCCTCTGGAGCCTTCAGAGGTCTCCAGGAGGCTTCCCTGAAGGCTCTGGAGGGCAAAAAACGACTCTAGGAGCAAACTGGAACTCCATTCCCGAGCTTCCGGTTTGCCCATAAGGCCGGTTTTTCGCACTCCGGAGGCTTCAAGGAAACCTCCAGAGGACAAAAAATGGCCTCAAAAGAAGGCGCCTGCTGGCCAGCTGACAGGGTTTGTCAGGGCATGTGACAGCCTCACATGCCCTGACAAATGGCTCTACGTGCCACCTGCGGCACGTGTACCACAGGTTCGCCATCATGGGTCTAGGCATAAGTTAATGTATCTTGTAAAGTGGAGTAACTGCTGATATTTCATCTTCCATGAATTTGTCCAGTTTCCTTTAGAACCATTTGAATTGGTGGCTGTCATCACCTATAATGCCAGAAAATGCCCTAGTTAAATAGGGATTCTCTAAATAATTGGTGTCACTTTCACTGCATTAATGTTAAAGAATGTCCTGAGTTACAACAGTGTGAGAGGAAAATGTGTCTGTGTTATACACTTCTATTTTTATTTCCCCTTACTTATCTTTACCCCCTAATGAAGAGTCCTAAATGGACTCTTCATTAGGGGGTAATAGTTCTTCCTTGTGAAGCAGTTGCCTTTCTTCTAATCATTTGATTTGATTTGATTTGACTTGATTTTATATGCCACCCATCTTACTGTTGAAGTAATTTTGTTTTCAGTTCTGTTTCTTTTCATCTCTATAAAATCTTTTTTTTCTGGTGTCATGATCCAAACTATTTAGTTTTGTAGATATATCTTCAACACAGATTAATGGCATTAATATGTTAGCTATCTTTGTTTTATTTTGCATCCTGTTTTCAATGATTCTAATCTGGATTTTTTTTTACATTTTTTACATTTATATTGACCTTTTCACAATGATTCTAAGGTTTTTTTTAGTCTGCCAAACACAGCTAATCAACTTATTTCTGAAGCTTGGGTTTTTTCTCATATACTTCATTTACACTTCCTATCTAGAACTTTGAAGAAATGCTTTAGCAATCTTTGCAATCATGATTTTATTTTATGGCTGAACAGTTTATTGCTATCATTAAACAACATCACATTGCTATACCCTCACGCCAATTTGTTTATAAACAAATTACTAAATCCTTCTATGAATGTTTTTCAATTTCAAAATTATATTTTAATTCCTATTCTTTGTCTTGTTTCTTAGTTATTTTGCAATCCATAAATGTACAGTGTGTGTTCTCTTATCTTATGGCTGCTGTGTTTGTTTGGGAGTCATTGACAATGGGATATATGTATATAAGTCCAAATATACAGTGTTTTCTGGAACTTTCTCCATAGAGAAGAGAAGTTATTATTTATATTAATTTCAAAAAATAGTCTTGTGGAACCTTAAAGACAGACATATTTAACACAAGTTTTCATGAATTCTAGGCCTTTGTATCAAATGCATAAAGCATCATGAGAGATTGGATATAAGTGTGTGCATATTGGTGGGGAAATGGTACAGATAGTTGATGAGTATGTGGATCTTAGAATCAGGTAATCAGGTAGGTATGGAAACCAAAAGACTAGTTCTTTAGACCAGCTTTCTACAGCGTAGAGTTTAAATTTATTAGCATTGCAAGTCTTTACATTTCTAGTATGGAACACTCCAGATATGTTTAGGCTATCACTTGTTATTCAACATTCACAAGTTTGATTGAGAAAAGCTGGGGAACGACTATTGAAATTAAACAAGTAGCTAGATTTTGCTTGGAAAATATTGGGAAAGGCATCATCATCATTAACATTGTAAGTAGTCCTTGACTTACTACCATTTGTTGACTCCTTGTACTTATGTTGTAGCATCCCCACAATCATCATCAGAATTCAAGCACTTGGCAACTGGCATGTATTTATGTCAGTTGCAATGACCTGGTCATGAGGTCACCATTTGTGACCCTTCCAGCCAGCTTCCAACAAGCAAAACTATGGAGGAAACCACTTCACTTAACAATCATGGAATTCACCTAACAACTGCAGTGATTCACTTAACTATGAGAAAAAAAGTTGCAAAATCAACATGATTCACTTAACAGCAAACTCTCTTATAATGGAAAGCCTGGTCCAAATTGTGGTTGTACCTTAAGGACTACCTGTACGACAGAGGAATGCAATGGGATTTTGCTCCATTTTTCCACAATATGAATGGTTGAGGACTTCTTTCTTTTTATGGTAAAAATCAGCCATATCTTGGATTGGGTGCAAGATCTAAGACTGCCAGGAAGGGTTTGGAGCTTAAACATGAGCTGCCCTTCCTTCTGCATAGAGTCCCTTCTGTCTTGGGACTCCAGAACAAGCTGTCAGCAAATGATAAGATAAAAAGACTTGATAAAAAGTCAAAGTTGTCTCACAAACATTTTATTAGCCCAATCTGTTATAGGAGCCTTAAGCAAATTCGGGTTCAGATTTTAATAAACTAAGTTCTTAAGATTTTATCTTTGCAAATAGTTTGTTACGATATTGCTTGATGTATTATGTCAACTATTGGCAACTTTTGTTCATGACTCCACTAGATGGCACTAATTCACTTCAAAACTAAAAAAAAATAGAATATGTTATAATAATAATTGAAACCTTGCAAAATAACTAAGAGTTATGAGTTTTATGTTATTGCATGAAAAATCAAAATAGTTGGGACATTAATAAATAATGTTTGGGGTTTTTGATGCCCATACTATTAAGGGGAATCTCACAATATTTCCTACCAACTGAAAAAAGTTGCTGATTTCTGTACTATGTGTTTATGTATATTGGCTAAATTGTTTGCATTTCTTCTTGCTTTGGGACAAAGGGAAAACAGAAAGCAGATAAAAATAGAGCACGTGTGGAAGAGAATTTCCTGAAATTGACTCATGTTCAAAGACAAGAGGCTGCCCAGTCCCGCCGGGAAGAGAAAAAACGAGCAGAGAAGGAGAGAATCATGAATGAGGAAGATCCAGAAAAGCAGCGACGTCTAGAGGTATTTTGTTCAATAAGCTTACTATATTAGAAGAAGCATGCTCAGCCTTTAGGAGCCATTCTAAATTAGGGAAGTTACTATTGAGTTTATTATTGATTAATTGATTAGCCTTTAGGCCATATCAATGTACAAAGTCAAAATAAAATCCTCTACAATTTAAAATAAGAGTAGGGTAAAATACAATAGTTATAGGATAAAATACAATAATTTAATACATAAATATGTAAAATAAAATAAAATAAAATGACATAAAATTATATTTTTGTATCACCCCTGCAATCTGCCCCAGTCAGGCTCACATGCCGATCTCAGTTGGACCATTTTAGTCAGAAATTTGCTGTATTAAATGTCATTTTCAAAGTCTGGCCATACATGAGGTATGTTGTTTTAATAGCTCCCACTGGGCCATGCGTTCAAAATGTGGATCAAGAGACTTAACTCTCACCCCCTTATACAAACAGCAATCATATAATATATCAGTCAGATCTTCTACCTCTTCAGCTCCACAAATACATGTACATTCATTATATCTCCCAAATCTAATCATTGCATCAAGTTGTTCAGGGGAAGTTACTAAAATCATTACCACAAAATGGGGCTAGCAACACAACATGGGGCTAGCAACTTGCATGTGAAATTCTGTTCTGAGTATCAAACTATAAATCTGCTCCTTCCAAGTATCTTATTTACACCATAACATTATATCACCATCCCTGACAACTATCAGCAAAACATGTATAAGCAAAAACAATGTAACTATATCTGCACTTACATGCTACAAACAATATGCTACAGAAATATATATAATCCCTTATTGCTATAGAAATAGGTGTAATCCCTCTGCAGAAAAACATTCCAGTGTCACCCGCTTACATGCTATTTTTCCAGAATGTTGAAGATTCCGGTGGTTAATATTATAAACAAATAAACTTTCTGGTCTGGGAGGAAAAATGTCCATTCTATAATTTGGTCTACCCATGTTAAATGAGATCCAAAGCCTGCACTATTTGAAGTGCTTTACAGGTAGTCCCCAACTTTGGGACCAGAGTTTGTTGCTAAGCAAGGCAGTTGTTAAATGACAATATTATTGTGTGGCCAATATTATTATCTTTTTTGCCACAGTTGTTAAATGAACCACTGTAGTTGTTAAATGGGCAGTCATTAAGTGAATCTGGCTTTACTTTTTGGAAACTGGCTGGGAAGCAAACGGTGATCATATGACCTGGGTCATATTTAGTTCTACACCAAGTGTCATAAATACATGCCGGTTGCCAAGTGCCTAAACATGACAGTCATAAGTTGGGGACCAGTTGTGAATCACTCTTTTCAGTGCTGTTGTAACTTTGAACAGTCACTAAATGAATGGTTATAAGAAGTAGCTCTAATATGTTTAAAGGAGATAACAAGACTTCTAACTTTCACATGATTTTCTAAGAAGAATATGTTATCTTAATCAAAGTTGTTTTGGGCAAGTTCTTTGTAAAAGCCTGTAGTAGCTGAATATTAAGTCTTCCTGGAATGAGTAGCAACAGACATTATTACCTCATCTTTGGAGAGGGAGAAAGGCAGTTTCATGGTTTGTTTGGTGGACACTACAGTAATTCCTTTTCGGGCTTAAAGATGGTGAATGTTTTGCTTGTATTTTTGTTGTAAGATGCATGGCTTGTGATCCAGTTTTATATGCATAAATTATCTAGCTAGGTTCATATGTTAACTAAGCTACAGTTTTAAATAAGCTGTAATCATCTTGTTCACTAACAGAGTTAAATGACAAATCATGGTTCAGAAAACATTGTGTTTGACTTACATTGTCACATTAAGCCAAACCCCATCAAATCCCATTATTATTAGTTCTCTGTAAGACCAGCATCTCTGTGTAGCAGAATTTTATTAGTAGCAGCAAAGCCCTGTTTTATAGCTTTCAATCGTTTTATAGCTTTCAATCAAGCAGGGGGGGGGGTCTAAGGGACAGTTTTCTCCTACCAAGGCCAGAGGAAATGGTATCTAATTCAGTGCTTGAATACTTCTGTATTTACAAGAGATCCATTTGGAAGCAGCTCCATTTTTCACTGCATTGAAAGCATTAGTTGGAGAGATATTTTGATCACCCACCTAGTTCCAATGTAGTAGCTGCAGATTTTTACATGGAAGACTAATTAATATTTATCTCATAACAGTAAACAAATCTGCTACATTTCCTTGGTGTCTTTGACTTTGCTCTGCAATCAAACAAAGAATCCAATAATCACATAAAACTAATAATTTATTTCCTTTAGGAGGCTGCCTTGCGTCGTGAACAGAAAAAACTTGAAAAGAAGCAAATGAAAATGAAACAGATCAAGGTGAAAGCTATGTGAAAAACTTACTAGGGAGAAATATCTTTTTGGTGCCAACCATAGAATTGCAATTTGCTGCCTACAATGAGCTGATTATATTCCTGACCTTAATCATTGGCCACTTAAGAACCATTTTTGATGATAACTTTTGTCACTCATGGGTTTATGAATGAAAGTTTTCTCCCTCCATGTATATTTGGCAAAGTTGTTCTTAACTCCATTAGTAACAGTTTTAACACAACTTTTAAAAATGTGTTTATGTACTGAATTGCTTCAACCAATGACCCCCAAAACAACAAAATTATACTTAGTTACCAATAAAATAAATATATTTTAATCCACATTTGGATTGCAATTCTGAACCTAGTTCAATCTCTTTAATGACTAGGACTGCTAATAATGAATATTTTAATGGTGCAGCCCATTTTGATTTTATATAACATGCAGATGTGTATATAGAGAACTTTGCAGTTGTCTTCCATATTGTTAAGGTTTTTTTTCCTACTTGCTTTGGATGGGGTTCTAGAAATTTGCAACATTCTTTCAGATGCTTTGGTTCAGATGCATGATGTATATGTATGTGTGTACACACAGTTAAACACACATACATAAAATCTATGCACATAGTACTCTCTCACACAAATGTATGCACACAGGTACACAAATACACACACAAATTCTTAGAATATACCAACAATGCATAAGCACTTTGATTATATTTAGAGAAGTGGGCAAAATGGAGAGAAAAACTAATAACTAATATTTCATATTAAGTTTTTAAAAAATTCTTTCACAGTTGGTGCAACTAGCACTATTGGCATCTAATATAATTACACATCAAATATATGTGAATTTCATGCTTCTTTGTAATGGTAAAGTGCTAAACCAGTATTACTTACAGTTTTACAAGCGATTATACTGAGAATTCTAGAAAAACTGCTGTGTTTTGAGCACAGTATGTAGAAATAAATCTACAAGATAGTAATTTCAGTGGTAAATGTGCATGCAGATAAGCATCTCGTTTATATCTGCTATCAATATGTGAGCAACTGAGGAATGGTGTGTATTTGCCTTGGGGTTGATTATTATTAATAATATAATTAATTAAAAACAATGTAAAAGCTACCTATTAAGTTGACCTGACACTGAATTTGGGGCACATCAGTGTGTTCTTCTGAAAATTCCTGCATGGCAAATGAAGATCTTTGTGGGATCACTCACATGATTCCTCATGCATTACCTAGTTGCTGAAAATCATTTGTTATCTTCCAAATAGCTGACTTCTTTGGACCCATTTTCTCTATATAGGTTTATTGTATTTTCTATTTCTACATATAAATCATGCTTGCTGATTTGGAACAGGGTGTATTCACTAATTTCCCCCCTCCTTTTTAGACAGATGCCTAGATGTTTTAGCAGCTTTCTTTATATTTTAATGTGCTTTTCTGATGATATCATATTCTTCCAGTATTTCTCTGTGTCTCTGTAGCTGCTAGCTATGTAAAGTTGACAAGGAACCAGGGTCTAAATAACTGTACAATTCACTTCCCCCTACCCCCAGGTAGAAGCCTCTTAGAGGATTATATCTCTTAAACATCATTTACAAACCATTGTATATGCTGAGAAAATTAGAATCTGGAGCTTCTCCCACTTCACAGTCTTATGGAATTGCTGCATTTTATAAATGCTCAAGATGGCATTTGACCGTTTCTGTATAATGGATTCTTTTTGCAGTGAATTTACTGAAAAGAAACTTGCGGGTTAAGCTTTGTGTATTTTCTTGATTATGCTTTTATCACTGATGCAATAACATTAAGCTGCTCTTTAAAACAGCATGTGCAAAAAGCCACTTGTCAGAGCATGAACATGCATAGATTTCTTTTGAATGCAATCTACAACCCAAAAGATATTTTAATTTGTGATTTTATATAACTATCATTTATGATATTTTACATCAAAAATGGCAATCCTATGTGGGATATATTTTAAACTATTTTGTCAATAGATATTATACCAATTGAATAAAGTTTTGTTTCACAGAGGTCCTTTTGTAATGGAAATATTTAAAAGCTTGTTATGTAGTTTAAGTAATGTTAGTAGGGCGGGGGAGAAAATATTACTAAGCTCTCAAAATAGCAATATAGCAATAGCAGTAGACTTATATACCGCTTCATAGGCCTTTCAGGCCTCTCTAAGCTCAAAAGGGAAGTTTCAAGTCTGGCAAACTTTGCAAGGCAGACATTTATAAAACTATGCAAGTTAGAAAAGACAACAAAACTAATACTCGTGTTTTTCTCCATAGTTTTATTATAGGGTCTTTCTTTTGGTTCATTCCTTCATTTATTAATTAATCTTCCTCTGCAAAGAAAAACCTTATTTATGTAGAAAAAAATATCAGTGCCAAACAGAAATGAAGCAGGGACTTTTGTCCCTTCTCATAAGTTAGTCTGCAAATTACCAGAGGTGTTTGGTATTGAACATTTGTGTGTTTTCACATCTCTGCCTAAAAGTACAACTTCTTCTGAAGAATTTGCCATTTTAAAGAAAGTGATGAAAGCAAGACAATATGGAAAGATTGGAATATTGGTTAGCCAATGCAGTACCTTTATCAATGACCTCTTAGATTAATTAGTACTTCCTAAGTACTCTGTTCTACCTGAATTATTAATTTATTATTTTAGTAAAAAAATAATAGGTGGCAAGTTAGCATACTGCAAGAAAAAAGTGACTGATATCATCACTTCTATTTTGCACCATTCTTCTAACCCCCTCCCAAAAAAATTTCCATAGACTTTTTTTTTAAGAATAAAAAAGAATATTTTTTTTTAAGAATAAAGACTTTTTTTTTAAAGAATAAAGATGAGTAGCTGCAGCCCCGTGCTTTGTTTAAAAGTATAATACCCATTTGGAAAAAAAAATATGGGAATAGTGGGCAAACTTCCTGATGAACCAGAAGAAATACAGGAGAAAGAAGCCTCATCATGTCACATTTCAGAAGTATGAATGGCTATGTCGACCTTGGCAGATGATATTTTCAATTTCCACAATTGTCCACCCATCCTGAAAAAATGGTTTATGTCTGGGTTACAACCCCTCTTCCTATATTTAAAGTCAAAGCATTGGTTTTCCAATGTGATTGAATCTCAGACTTTGATCAATTACAAGGCAGTAGCTGGGTTCAAAAATTATACAAAAGCCTAACCAAATAGTCACATTATTGCTTAATACAATATATGAATGAAGTTGGAATATAGAAATAGCTATATTTAGCTATATTAATGATATTTAATGATGAAAAAAAAATGTACTCTAGGTGCCAATTGTGCTCTTTAATCCTAAATTATAATTTGGATGCATCAGTGTCTTTTAAAAGAAAAATCAATACCCATGAATGGAAACATTTTGAAATTCTATTTAATATCATATCACACTGCTCCAACAATTATTTTACATTTGGCAGCTGGCAAATTTCAAATGCATTTCCGTGATCACTCCTTCTACAAATCTTTCCTTTTGTGCCTTGCTTGTAGCAGATTATGCAGCTTCCTCATTTTTTACTTGCTACTATTGAATCTACATTAGGAAAGTTGGTTTCAGGCAAGAGAGAGAAAAAATAAGTCTTGGTTCACAAATCAAAGTCAAAGTCATTCAAATCACATATTATGCTTAGCATTGGGTTTAGATAATCAAGTGTTTGTTCATCATAAAATATGATAGCATTTTAGGAACTCTGAGCTGACTAGTTAACTAGATAATCTGTGATTTTAGGTCATCGTTCCAGAGATACCTCCATATCTAAACAGGGAAACAGAATGACCATGGATGACAAAAAAGCACTGGGCAGTAGCAACTTCCAATTTTTTGCTTGCTTCCCCAAAGACTTTCCTTCTAGGAATCTGATGGGGAAGGAAAGTCGGTTGGAAATGATGATCACGTCTGGCTAACTGGGGAAGTGTGGCAGCATTGAAGCAGGCACAGCTTTGGCAAATTTCAATCCCACAGGGCTCCTGGGTTTTGTATCCTATAGTTTGCCCATTTGAAGTACCTTGATTTGTGTCAGAGTTTTGGCAGCATGACTAGTATTGTGAGATAAACCCAGGAGCAATAACACAGCACACACAACCTTAAGACAATTAAACAGTGGTTTCTCAACAAATTTTACCATTCACTACAGACACAAGGAGAAAACAATACATGCTGAGAAAGAGAAACAGGTTCTAATTGCCACCTACATGTAGACTCCTCTTAAAACAGTAAATGACTTGTGTGGACCCCACCATCAGAGTCTTAAAAGGGTTATACCATAGCTGCAATGAATCAGCCTTATTTCATCAGCCTTGCCTTCACCTTACAAATTACAGTTTACAATCTTACCTCAGCTGGCAGCTATTAAATCAGACCTTGACACTCCTTCCATTTAAAACTGTACAGCTGATAATCCAAATGCTTTTACATATACTTTTCCTACTTTGTTACCATAGTTCATATAACAATTTATCCTCTTAAAACTGTAAATGACAATTTGAAACATTTGTTGCCTTACGATGTAGCATTTTAAGTAAAGCAGACATGAAACTTTTAGTAGTACAGTAGAACCTCTAGTCATGACTATAATTAGTTCCATAACTTTGGTCACAATCCAATTTGGTTGTGACCCAAACATAATTTTGGAAATTTGGTGCTTACAAAACAAATGGCGTGGAAGGCGAAATCAACTGGGGGAAAAAAACATGAATTTTTTGGTTGGAACCGATTTGGTTGTGGTCAGAAGCATTCATGACCAGAGGTTTTACTGTATATAGATGCCATCTAGTTTCTTCAGAAAACAAGAACACTACTAGATAATGAAGGGGTATAAATGAGGAAGTCTTAAAAAGTTGGTTTAAAGTGAATATGCTAATATACAGCACTTGATTTTGTCCAAAATTGCTGTTGTAATGATGAATGAATACTTTAAAAAATGAAATATTTTTAAAGTATCATTTACCTTCTTTTTGAATGTATGGGCTACTTAGAATAGATATAGATGGCCCTGCATATATGAATTCAGGTAAGGAATGCTACCCCTATGGACAATGCCTTAATTCTAAGCAAAATAACCAGTGGTGGGATTCAGCCAGTTCGCACTACTCTGGGAGAACCGGTTGTTAACTTTCTGAGCAGTTTGGTGAACTGGTTGTTGAAAGAAATCATTAGGGCAGAGAACTGGTTATTAAATTATTTGAATCCCACCACTGAGAATAACCAAAGATGTGCTTATGCATAATACCTCTATCAACATCTATCTCTATCCTTTCTTGGGCTATTACATATATCCTTGAGCAGAAAAGATAAAAACAATTTTCTCTGAAAACATTTTAGTAGAAAAATGTTCCATTTCCATAATTTTCAATTGACAACTTTTTAAAGGAATGTAGCGATTTGTGTCCTAAATATAAATTGCTTATAATTTGGGAAGAATTTGGCAACTCACCAAACTGCAAACTAAGTACATTTTAAACCTGAAAAACTGAGCCATCATTGAATTCTATTCAAGCAACACACTAATTAATAGTTTGTTTAGCCATTATTTATTGAATAATTTCAAACAAACCAAAATATAAAAATCACATATATCACAGACCATGGCCACAGACCCCCCAAGACTTAAGATTTAAATCATAACATTTCTGCAAGCCTTCATAGACCACCTGTGATGACATCGCAGCCCCTCAGGAATCCTTGGACTACAGGTTGAGAACCAGTGTTCTAATGCATATAAGTATATATAATGCATTAAGCAAGAAACAAGCAAATAATATTTTGAAGTAACATGTAAAGATTAAAATGAGTTAAAATTTACAAATGATATCAGCAAAGACTGGTCAAAAGCTGATGTCCGATCATACACAGTCCATGTTTATATAGCAGAACAGTATTTTTGAATTATATTACTTGCACCCCTAAATTCTGAAGGATCAAATAATAGGAAAAACAGTAATTTGATTGGCACTAAGGAATATTAACATTGTCCAAAACAATAAAAAAATCTAGTTTGTGATTAAGCATGTTGTGCAATCCAGCTGTTGTAATTAATTCATAGTTTAATATGTTCATTAAATCACAGGAGTTCATTAAGAATGCATTGGCTGTAGAGTAAATTGCTTCTAAAAGAATTTGTTTGAAGCAGTATATACTGACAATAAAACCTTGCATAATTATGCTTTCCAACATATTTGTTAATTTTTGCTTTAGTAAACAATATAACTAGTATCTAAAGTATCTCAAAACTTTGTTTTTTACACATGCACATAAATATAAGTACCAGTATGTAACATTGTACTTAAAAGTAAAATGTAAAAGTTTAAACTTTTCCTACCCCGTTTTTTAATCTGTGCTTCTACTGATATTTATGTCATGTTGATGAAAAATTGCCACTTAGATGACATGGGTCATATAGAAATATAATAGTTAAAATAAATATCTGGCCCTAAAAAACACCAATAAATATATCTCCTTTATGAGTTATAATAATGTTGCTATTTTAGGATTCAGTGGTCCTTGACTTACAACCACAACCACGTTTCTCTTGGTAAGCAAAACGGTTGTGACTTGTGTCCCATTTTATGATGTTTCTTGTCAGTGTTAAGTGAATCACTGCAGTTGTTAGTAACATAGTTATGTGAATCTGACTTTCTATTAATTTTGCTTGTTGGAGGGTCACAAAAGGTGATCCCATGGCCCTGGGGTACTGCATCCCTCATAAATACATGCCAGTTGCAAAGTACCTGAACTTTGATCATGTGTCCGAGGGGATGCTGCCACAATCATATTAAAAGCAGCATTAAGTCATTTTTTCAGTAACTTCGAATGGTTTTAACTTGAGAACTAGCTGTGCTCCTATGTTGGGAGAACATAGTTGTTCAAACCTTTACATCAGTTTTGCAACCTTAAATGGAAAGATTGACCCAACAGACTCAGCAAAAGAGAAACAAACCCATTAAGGGTTTAATCTGATGTCAATGGTGCACAGTCCAGTTCTGCTGCCTGGAGCAACTGCTTCTCTTTTATATTGGTCAGATCAACCCTGGTCATTTCTGCTATGAAAAGCAGGGATATTCAAGCTGTCCTGGTTTTTTTTAATCAGAAATCAATCAAATAATATCTTTGGAGCAACCCTTTTTTGGGGATAAAAAGGATGGGGAAACCCACTATTTCCAGAACTACTACTCAGCGGACCCTTTAACTGCAGGCGGACAAGCAGGTACAGATACCGCCCCTCCCTAAAGCTCGCTCCTTCACGGAGTAAGCAGCGAGGCTATTTATAGAGCGATGGACGATCACGTGATCCCGAATGACGTCACTAAATGTTGTTGTTAGTGTTTGGCGGCGGTAGCGGCGGGCGAGCAAAGCCAGCTGCAAAGATGGAGGAGAAGAGGAAAAGGAGGAGGTGGTTGTGGTTATGAAAGGTTGCCGCGGCAGGACAGCCGGTTATAGTTTTCTTCTTGGAGAGGGGAGGGGGGGGCAGGAAGAAATCGATCTAGGGTAGGCCGGGCCCAGTAATTGCAGCTTCCCATCCTGCACGCACATCTGCAAGGAAAGCAGCCGCAGCAGCAGCAGGAACGCGCCATTTTTCCCCGATCTTCTTCCAGGTAAAGAAAGAGAGCGGGATGGCTGGAGCGTGTCGGCGGAAAGCTTGGGGTTGGTGCTCCCCATTGCGCGTGCTAGCTTGCTTGCTTGCTGCTGCTGCTGTTGCTGCTGCTGCTACTGCCATCGCCGCCGCCCCGGCCCGCCGGTGGCTTCGATGCTGGAGGTTCCGCAGCTGCTCGCCGAAGAAAGGATCTGAAACTGCAGAGCAGCACACGGGGCGGGGGGGAGGGGAGGAGGTGGCGGGATCCGTGCGGGACTGGGGGGGTCCTCCGGGGGTCCTGAGGTTTTGCCTTAAAGACGTGGTTGTACGATCCAGGTGGAAAGAGGGAGGAAATGGAGAGGCTGAAGCGCGCCCGTCGGGAAACTAACGGGCCGTTTGCGGGGCGATCGTGTTGCCCAACGCGTAGAGCACCCGGTTCAGGGTGGAGTTGGGGTGTTGCTTCACAAGGACACTCCGCCTTCCGCCCTGTCATTGAAGAAGACGTTGGCTCGCTTCTCTTTGATGGGGCAGCCCAAAAGGGATCTTTTTTCTCCCACCAGTGCCGTTGATAAACTCCTGGACTACAACTTCCACCATTGGAAAAAGATCTAGCGAAGATTGACTGGGAATGTTGGGCTTGGCAGTCTGTCATACCAGTAGAATCCCAGGGTTGGAGAAGAGTAGGGAAAGCTGCTCGGATGTGCGGGCTGCGCCTATAACAATGGAAGACTTCTCAAGGCTGTAGTGCCAGAAATAAGTACGAATTACAAGACAGACAGAAAAGATTGGCTTTGAGCCTTTTTCAAAACACAGAAACTGTCCCTGTTTCTTGCTGTGTTCAGTTCAGTATTACTCTCCTGAAGAGGTGAATATTTTTTTACTCTGATCTTTTCCCATCGTTTCTGTGCATTCTTCCACTAGCTCTCTCTCTCTCTCTTTCTCTCTCTCTCTCTCTCTCTCTCTCTCTCTCTCTCTCTCTCTCAGTGGTTTTTATTTCCATATTTCAACATTCTTAACTTGGTTCTGGGAATTCTTTTCCAAATCTGTCTTGTGCAGTTTTTATGAGACTGCTAAAACAAGCTATAAGCAAGATTTTTTTTTAAAAGACTTTAAGCATCACCCTTGTTTCAGATCTTGTGGCAAACTTACTCTATACCCCTTTCCATTCTTTGTTTGGGATTTCCTTGTGCAATTTTTCTGACCTTTGAGGCAGTAATAAGGACATATAATTCAAAGGTTGATTGTGTTCCTGGCTGATGCATACATCACATTATATGTTTGTATCATGTGGAAAAACGAAGTAAAGGTAAGAGAGGAAAATAAATTTGGGCAAAAGAACCCTCAAGGTTCCCCTGTCCTTTTATTTGCTTTTTTTTTTTTACTTCTTTGTACCTTGACAAAGCTTTTCTGCAATCTGGGAACTGTTCTTTCCTATAGCATGCCTTGGAATGTAAATGAGTAAGACTTAATGAATACCATGTTGATAAATTGTGGGAGTATGATTCTGCTGGAGGGCAAAAGCAGGAGTTTTGTGGTATTTTAAAACTAAGATATATTATGACATAAATTTTGATGTCCTAACAGTCATTTGATTAGATACAATATCAAGTTAGAAACAAAATGGGACAAAGGGCAAAACCAAAAAAGGTAAAAAGCAAAATGTTTACAGTGTTAATTAGTAATGTTGAGACATGATTAAACCTAGAACGTGATGCAAATAGCTTACTGTACCTCTTTCCCACTTGGAATAGAATATTGCAACATTTTATTTGGGCAGTTCAGCTGGCAATTATTTTATTTCGTTGAAATTATGAATACTTTCTAATTGGATAGATGCATATCATCTTTATGACAGCTACATTTTTAAATTTTGTAGGCAAGAACCAAATGCATAGTTCACAGAAAACTTGTTTGTCTCTTGAATAAGATATATCAGCTTCTTGTTCTCTCATGCTATGTTCAGAAGAAATAGAAAAGACAACAATGCAAGAGTAATCAATTATATGGACTGCTGAGTTTGCAGGTCTTTATATTAGCCTTAAGAACATCTTTCTAGCCGTCTTAAGAACTGAAAGAAGTCAAATATCCTTGCTCTGCCCATTTCCCTTATAACTGGAAAACAACTTAAAATGGTTCTGCAGTATTAATATGCATAATTGCCTGTAAAAGCAGCCACTCTGTCTCTAATCTTCCAAAAATAATATTTGTAAGCTTCATCACCTGATGTTTGAGATCCATGTGATTAAAAGTTCTCAAATCCTTTTTGGGTTATTTTTGGAGTAGCTATTTATCATTGTGCCTCGTTAGCACAATTGTTTCATATTCTTCTGTATTCCCACCACTTTGCAAGAATTGATTCCAGGGCAATGTGTGCACATGTATGGTTGCATGAAAGAGTTTATATGGGAAATAAGCAGAGTTTAATTGCTGAGGCTGAATTTGTATTTGGCCTTCGTTTCTTGGGAAGGAAAAACCAGGGAATTTATTTCCTTCCCTTTTGGGATCTTCATCCCCAATGGGAAGAATGATAATAAAAAGCAACAGTAAATGGTACAATAATTGTATTGGTTTTTTAAATCAAAGTTTAACTGTAGCTGTTCTTTTAACTCATTTCTCAGTTCTAAAGGAACTAATCGGAGCTACACATTGCTGAACAACATGATTTTACAATTAATGAAAGCAGAGGGGTTATTTAAATTCACATAGTTAACCAAAAGTCTGGTTGCTCCTGGATTACAGAAAGTTCTCTTGAAAAAGGTAATAAGAGAAGTAGCAGACCCCCGAAAAAATACCCACAACAACACTAAACAACCTTATGACCTGTTGGGTCAGTCCTTTCAGAGATATTTACTTAAAGAGAAAAACAGAATGAACACAGGCGAGCAAAAAAGCAGTGGAGTAGAAGCAGCTTCTGACTTCCTGCTGACTTCCCCATTGACATGTTTGTTGGAAGCTGGTAGGGAATGCCAGAAATTCCTCCTCCTTAGTTGAAACTACTTGCTACTTTGCTGTGGAAGGTGAAACAAGAGAGCCATTGACCACCTTCGCTCCCCATCCCAGGATATCTCCAGTGGGAGGGTAGCTGAGGTGCAGCATAGGTCAGAAAGGGTGCATAGGTGTACACAAGAGGAGCTGCGAGGTCAGGAAGGGTCTGTGGATTTGCACAAGTGGCCAGCACAATGCCAGTGCAGAGGGACTGGGAAGCGCTACGGAGCTGATTGAATTTGTTGGCTTATCTATTGACTTGTGGGAAGCTGGCAAGGAACATTGTAATGCTAACCACATAACTCTGGTTGATCACAGCTGCACAGTGTTGCTGAAGGACCCACAGCCTTCCTAGATTTAATTACCAATAAGTCTCAGCATTCTGAAAGTTAGCCCCTTTAAAGTATATTGGTTCAGTAATTATTGCCCTCCGATGCAATTAAAGGTTACAAACAGGCTATAAACACGAGAGTTTTAGTGATATATAGATAGAATGGATAAACTCTTAACACACTTATGTGGACACCCACAAATGCCTTTTGTGTTTCATATAGAGCTGCTTTTTGTCTCCCGTTTTATAATCTAAAAGTGTTGGGACACTGACCTCACTTGTTTTCATCAATTTGTCACAGAATACTTTAAAAAATTTAGAGGACATTTTGGGGACAAATATAATTGTTCTCTTGGCAGTTTTTGATCATAGAAGCTATGTCCTGACTTTTGGTAGTTTGAAACATTAGTCATACTTTGATTTTCTCATAGTCTCTGGCACATCATTGTTTTAGTTCATCCTAGCATGATGTTACACTTCTTTTTAGCTGTGCTTTCCAATGGACTGTACGTACTTCGTTATTCTTAAGTATTCATTCAATAGATTGTTACGGTTGTTGGGCATCATGATTACTAGAATGGGTAATTTGCTAGCCAAGCCTGCAAACAGATTATATTTCACTCAAACATGGATTCAGTACAGTTTTCTTTTGGAATGGGCTGGCAGGCATTAGTTGCCTACAGAACATAATGGAGAATATGTGGAAATTGCCTCTGGACTACCCCTTGGAATCTGGTTTTGGTAGTTTTCTTATATCTACCTTGTCAAGATATGAAGAAACTTCACCTAGGTAAACTGAGTGATAAATCCTTTATACTCTTTGCTCTTCTCGAGTAGATGACAATCTGAAGCACCTGCTGAGAAGGTACCTTGATCAAGCACTCTTGTACTCTACTGCCCATAGAGAGCTAATGGCATGTTTTATGTTTCTGATTGACATATGTAACTTGCCATGCTTCAGGTACTTCACGGGCTATTTAAGAATATGACTTGTTGGACAGGAAATACCTGGTTTACAGTAATGGTCTTTGCTGAATGACCATAGGCAAATCTCTGTTACTTTAACCTCTCCCATCCTCCACTGCCATATGTAATGCAAAGAAAACAATGTTGACTGTTACAAAGCTGCTGAACAGGATTACAGAAATATCATGTTCTGGAATCACAAACATACCACGTGTGAAGAACTTTGAGTTTTCAACTAGATGACTTTAGTTTTTTTTCCTAACACCACTTAGAATTTCATCCCCAAATTTCTACTTTGACTCCCTTTTTCCAGTAAGAAAAAAGGGTCTGTTCCTTATAGCAGAGGTCGCTGGAAGTATCTTGGATACTGTAAATCAAACTTTCCCCAATAAGTACTAGAAATAGTGAAGTACAGTATTGCCATCTGTAGCCTTGCTATTTGGGTAGGGCAATTATGTTTAAATTCCTGTTGCTAAGCAATACAGATGTTACCTGAGTTTTGCACCATTTTACAACCTTTCTTGCCATAGTTTGTTAAATGAATAACTGGAATTACATCAGTAACACAGTTGTTAAGTGAAACTGACAAACTTCCCCATTGACTGTGCTTGTCAGAAGGTCGCAAAAGGTGATCACACTTGACCCTGAGCCAAGTACATATCAGTTGCAAAGTGCCCAAATTTTATCCACGTGACAGTAGGGATGTTACAGTAGTCATAAATGTGAAAATGGTCATAAGTTACTTTTTTAAATGCCATTGAAAATTCAAGCAGTCACTAAATGAATGGTTATAATTTCAGGATTCCCTGTATTATCATTTGTCCTAGAAATAAATACAAGTTTTGATTTTTGTTGTCTCAACTGTTAGTGGGGGGGGGGGGACCCTCACTAGTTTATATTTTGCTTTTTTTGAATCAGGTGTATTCTCGTCTTACAATTATTTATTTAGAGACTGTTCAAAGTTACAGTGGCCCTAAAAACAGTGACTTACAATCATTTTTCACACTTATGGCCATTACAGCATCCCCATGGTGATGTGATCAAAATCCAGATACTTGGCAACTGGCATGAATATATATGATGATTGTAGTGCCCAGTATCAGGTGCTCAACTTTTGTGACCTTCTGAAAGGCAAAATCAATGGGGAAGCCAGATTAACATTAACAACGGTGTTACTAATTTAATGACTGCAGCGATTTACTTAACAATTATAGCATGAAAGGTTGTAAAATGGGGGGGGGGACTCACTTAACAACTCTTAGCAACAGAAATGTGGGCTTTATTGTGGTTCTAGGTTGAGGATTACCTATACTCTACAATTTGAAGCTGAAGTCAGTGCCTGAATATGGCATTTGACACTTTCACTGAACCATCTCCTTGCCTTTATGTATTAATGTTATGTATTACAAACAAATTGAATGCTTAACTGGAAAGGTAAGCCAAAGGCTTTGATATTTCACTTTCCTTGCCACCAGTCATGAAACTGCTGCTGTGCTGCTTGAGAGCCTGAAAGGAGGATGACTTGATACGGTTGTGAACTGCACAGAAGAGCACGTAGTTTATTGTAAATAAGCTTAATAGCCAAAACCTTGAGTAATAACATTGGCACGCAGGAATTAAAGCTCTGTGGTTTAGCCTATCAGGGTAACAGTAGCCTTGATCGTGTCTGCTGCACATGCTGTGCTGTGGATATCGCTTCATTCATAACTTGAGTTATTTATTATATACTCCTTGTGTTTATGTATGAGTGAGTAAAACAGTTTTATCAGTTATTTTGTTTCTGTGGCACGTGTGGGTTTGTATTTTCAGGCAGTATCTAAAATAAACTTGTAGGAGAAGAGTATAAATTCAAACTGGGTTTTTCCCCCCCTAGGTGTCTGATCCCTATTGTGCTGTGTGCTCATGAAATGCGTAAACGTTCTCTGTGTATTTAATCCATTGAATCTACAGTCTATATATTAGCTATAATCTGACTTGGGCTCATTGGCTTGAGCTGTCTGCTCTGCATTTAATAAAAAACAGTTTTTCTCTTTTGCCTTAGATTCTCTGATTTTATCAAGGACTGTTTTCAGCCGATCAGTGAATCCATGAGAGAAAATTCAAACTGAGGTAAAATAGTCAGATACATAAACAGCATCTGTAAAGAATGTATAAACTTGTGGCTACTTAGCCAAATATGCTATGATAGAAAGGTGCTGACTGGCAGTGTTGTGTTCATGTTGAAAGGAACATGTGATAACATGCTATCACTTTCTCTTCAAATGTGATGGCGACCAAGATTAAATAAACTATTTTGAAATGAGTTCATTCTATATTTTCTTCGTTAACTTCTTTTGTAGTATAGGTTGATCCTGGCCATTTGGTCTTTTTCTATTAAGCTAAGAAACAGGATATTAATATTTCTTTTCCCTTTTTTCCCATCCAAGGGCTCCCAAGAAGGATTTCCTTTTCTCTTCAAGGGATGTCCCTACAGAATTGGCTAAACAGCATTTGACCTTTCTGACTACCAATCCCCATCTGTAAGTGAAGGCTACCATAGGTCCAGCTCTGAAAACCAAAGCCTTCTCCTCCTTCCTGATTTGTCACCGATCAGCCACTTACAAAGAAGGAAAACATGAGTTCCAAGAATGAATCAGGTAAGTAAAAAATCAGGCAAAAATGACTGAAAAAGTGGGTAGTTTTCTTGGGTTTTGTCAGGTTGGAACAAAAAGATGTATGATTTTGGGCTGGTGAAGATGTGGCTATTTTTGATTCTGCTAATGAAGGTCAGAATTTCATTTGGGAATTTGTATCTCTTTATACTTTGCAGTAATTTAATTGATAATGTATTTCAAACTACCTGTGGTTGCTACAGTTACCTGTGGTAACTACTGCAATCTCTCATTGGTTTGTTGAAATTAGTAAGGGAGGTTATCTTACCAGTGCCATGCTAAGCAGGCTTTTCACTACACACACACACACACACACACACACACACACACACACACGGGGGCGGGGCATTCAAGAAAAAATACATGCACCAATGATTTTTTTTTCAGAATAATTCAAAGCAACCTCTTGTGTTTTAAGTATGAATGACACATATGTGCTAGAAATACATACATTAGTGTGAATCAGTGGTAAAGTGTTGATACGGAAACAGCCTCAGAGATACTGGAGTACAGACAGTCCTTGACTTATGAGTACAATTGGGATGAGACTTTCTGTTGCTAAACAAGATAGTTGTTTAGTAAGTCACTCCTGACGTTATGAACATTTTTGTCATGTTGTTAAGCAAATACATATGTACGTACGTATACCATGAATTACATGGTCTTTAAATGAATCTGGCTTTCCCCAATATTTTTGCTTATCGGAAGTCAGTTGTGAAGGTTACAAACGGCAATCACATGACACACAACAAGCCAATGCTGCTACCATTGGAAATAAATGCTGGTTCCCACATGACTGTGAGTCATGTGATGGTTGTAAGCATGAGTACCCATCATAAGACACTTTTGTCAGTGCAGTTTTAATTTTGAATAGTAGATAAATGCATAATTGTAAGTTGAGGACTCCTTGTATGACGAAGTGTAAAGAAAAGTGTGACTTGTCTGTCTGCTTGACTTGCATTACATTGTATATCAGCTACAGTAAATAGAACAACACTGCAGTTTCATTGCTTTGCATAAAACTCTTTGCTAATTTAGTGCCCCCTGAAGATACTGGGGTGACTCACGACTTTTGGGAAATTGTGGTCCTAATAAATTTGATTGTCTGACTTCCATGTGCATTTCTCATTTCCTTATCGCTTTTCAGTTTTAGCCAAAACCGTCCTTTCTTGTATACATTCTTTATAATTTGCTATCACTATTTGTGGAAGAGAATTGGGTCTGATGATTGAGTGAATCTCTCAAACTTACAACATTTGTGCATTTGAACACTTTTTGAAATTGTTGGGATGTAAAGCCTCGTTTTCAGAATTGTGGAGACTGATATGGAATAGATTGATATGGAATAAGTTGCTCTTTAGACACCCATCCTTTTTCTCTTACCAGCACTTTGAACTTACTGATAATCTGGAAAAAAAATTGTGATCAACCCTCCTGTCCTGTGCAGTACTTGCTCATTTGGACATTGTCTTGATCTCATGTGCTGGGTTTTCCAGCTGTGAGATTATATATTTCTACTTTTATATTGATTTTTAAATTGGTTTTGCCTTGCATGCAAATGATTTGAATACATTCAGAGTGGACATGGACATATAAAAACATTTGATTGACATAACTTGTTGAATCTTTCCCAAGAAGATTAAAGTTTCATTCATTCATTCATTCAATTCCCTGCCTTTATTATTTCTATAAATAATTCAAGGTGCAAATACACCTAATATTCCTTCCTCCTCCTATTTTTCCCATCGCAACAACTATGTGAAGTGAGTTGGGCTGAAAAAGAATGACTGGCCCAAAGTTACTCAGCTGACTTTTATGTCTAAGGTGAGATTTGAACTCGCAAAGTTTTCTGTTTTCTAGTTTAGTGCCTTAACCACTGAGATAGTCTACTCCTTCATGCTTTCTTAGCTCAGTGTGCTCCATTCCAGATATCCTCTGGAAGTGACGGAGAATACCTTCATAGGACAGGCTAATGTTATCTAACTGTTGATGGCTTTTCTAATTGGAGAACTCTGTAAATACATAACAAAACTTGCTATTTGCTTTTAGCTTCTAGTTTTTGGTCAAACATGAATTGCAGATAATGCCTGTTCTAGGAAGAATAAGGAATATATTTGGACATCACTTGGAAAGAATTTTGTAGGGTGAGGAATCTACTTAAATTTCATATATTAGCCGCAAGTAATTAATATAATTTTCCTGTAGAAAGAGAGCAAAAAGGAAGAAGTGTTCTCTCAAAATTTTTATTCAAAAGAGAAGAATATACTGCTATTCCTAAAGAGTGTATTGTGTTCAAAACCCATTGTATGAGAATAAAGCTTGCAGCTTTGCTAATAAAACACTTTTTAAAATATTTTTATGTTCATGCATAATTTCAAATATCCACAAGATTGTTTCCAAATTCATAAAGCAAGACCAAAAGGTGAGTTTAAATTGTGTTACAAAAGTTGCTGTGAGAATTAAAAGTTATACCCTATTAAGCATGGTTAAATGAAGAATGAGTAGAGAAATGTTTGAAGAAAAAAAACATAGCAATCATATTTAGAATTCTACATGCTGTATTTTGAAAAGAACATAAAAGTAAAGATAGTCCAATGAAATGTGCTGTAATTAGAGAGATATAGCTGTCTCTTTGATGGAATACCTGGATTGAATACTGTATAAACAAAACAAGTCATTTAAATTTCATTGACTTTCAGGCAAACTCCAGTTGTTTTTTGATTTCAAAATGTCAATGACTATGCTAGTTAGAGATTACTGGAATCGAAACACATCTGAAGAAATTTGAAAAAGCAATTCTAGACTGAAACTGCTCATCTATTGTCAATCTCATGAGGATTTTTGTTTTAATTTGGCACAATTGCAGAACAGTTCCTGATCCTAGAGCTTAAGTCTTAAAATGTAGTGAAGCTTTAATAACACCACCATGGTGGACATATTGACTTATTTGACCATACCCTGCAGTCACCTCTGATATAGACGAATATATTAAGCTTTCTTTTGAAAGATGAAATGCAAATATTTGTGCAGGGGGCTGGACAGATAAATATAAGAAATGCAAGTCCCCTTGGCTAGCAAGGAAATGGAGAAAATAAATGAATTTTGTCTGATTACTTAATTACCCAGCTCCAAAGTACCTGCTTCATATAATTGAGGGTTGAGGGCTAGGGCTGAGAAAATGCTCTGTCTGGAGAGAAAGAATATGAAGTTCTCTCTCAGGATATAACCCAACATGAGTTAGTAGAAAAATTGGAATTGATATAATGAAATTGAACAGCTTCCTGATAGCATCATCCCTGGATAGATTCAACTAGGATATGATAGAAGTGTTCCCTTTATATTAGTGTTGGAAAAAATACAAAATGAAGAACTGGTGGTGCTAAAATAAAGTTGCTTCTGATAGAGGCATTTACAATTACACATGTAACTGAATAATAATAATAATAATTTCATTTCAATCATGGGCTGAAATGTGTTAGTTCCCTGGTCACTTTTCTTTTCTACATATTTTCTTTTCTACAGTTATTGACTTAATAAAATGTTCTATATAGTTTGCACATTTACTACATATATCTATTTAATATATGTTATTACAGAAGTTTATGGACCTCTTTAGAAGCAACTCCTGAAAACTTACTGTTGGGTGTGGAGTGTCACTAATAACTGGGGATAGCTTTAGCTTATTACCGCATTCCAAAATTCAGTTCAAAAGGTCCATATTTGGACCATGTGATTTTTGAGCTAATAAGACAAGGAGGTTAATGGTGAAATAGAAGCAGTTTCCTAAACGTCTTTTACTTCAATTTTCTACCCTTATTTCTTGGGAGGAAAAAGGGAGTGTAATGCCAAAAATTGACCATTGCTGCTGATTTTCAGCAGTTTGATCTTAATTGCTGGTAACCTACAAGTGATTGCCAGTGATTGCCTTAAATAACAGATTTTTTGCTGGAAACTATATAGAATGCTTTCTGGATTATTTCGGCCTTAGTTACGGATTGCCATGAACTCCAGACTGTTTTCAGTCCACTTGTAGACACCCCTGTTAATTTTACTGTCCCTGTTAATTTTACTGTTGATTTCCACATTAACTGCAGAAGACAGTACAATATCCATTGTACTGTATTATGCAAAAGTATGTTTTCAAAGAAAATCTTTACTTTTTATAATAATTTTTATTTAAATTTAATAGTATAAAGGTAATAAACTAGTACAAACTAAAAGAAGTAGGGAAAAAGGCAGAGAAAAGGGGGGGAAACTAAAAAATAGAAATTTAAAAGAAAAGACTTCCCCATTCAAGATAATTACATATAATTTTAAAAAAGTATTATTTTCACTGACATTTAAATCCAGGATCTCTTCTTCCCATATCTCCTCTCTTATCTATAAAGAAATTATAAAACCTCATTATTCAGTCCTAATCAGCAAAAGTCCATTAAGAGTTACCAGTAACAATATATAGTTTAACTTCATTGATTTGATCAATTTCATATTCCTGTATTTTACTTTTAATACAGTAATACATTTCTCTCAAAATATAAAATAACCTCTCTCCTTCTCAAATCTTAATATCTAGTATCTATAAACAAATCTTTAGAGATTTATTTCTTGTACCTAGTTAAAAAACATTAAAAATTATAAGAAACAACATATTAAGAATCTTCATGTTTAATCCTTTCAAATGGTATCCCACAAATTATTTCTTATCATTTTCTTTTTTTTCTTCCCCAAAAATCCCTTTACAAGTTTAATACGTACCAGAAGTAGCAACATCTATATTTGGTGGTGGCACAGTAGTTAGAATACAATATTGCAGGCTAACTCAGCCCACAGCCAGGAGTTCAATCCTGACCAGTTCAAGGTTGACTCATCCTTCTTGAGGTTGATAAAATGAGGAACCAGATTGTTGCGGGCAGCATGCTGACATTTGCACTCTGAGAATGCTGCAAAATACAATTGAGTGCTGAATAAATGCTATTGCTATTTATATTTAAACTTCAATAAAATAAACCAACTTTGTATTTTCCTTTTAATATCATAGCCTATCACTTCCCTCTGAAAATAAAACAAAAAATTGATTTCATCGATTGCCTTTTGTAGATCTCAAGATCTCACACTGGGGAAGGAGAACAGACCGCTCCCCGACCCCTTGGCATCCTTGCAGGACATGTA